ACGCATACACTTCCATTACTCTCTGCCTCCGATTAATGACCTTAAATTGAGCCAATGGCTATCATTATGTAACCATTTTTAACCTATATGATATGTAGAAGCATGACTACGAATATCCGAAAACAATCGTTCGTTCACCGACTCCTTTTCTCAAAAGAAAATGTATTGAATTGGAGGGAAAGATGACTACTATGAGATCTATTAGATTGACTGTCAGTCGGCCAAACGAGCAACGGACTAAGGCCTAACATGGTACCAGCGCCCAAATGCGGGTCCTCCAACTATGACACTTGGGTACATGCCATTTCCACGTGTTCATTCTGTCAATTCTTGAAGTTCACTGAAAACAAAGCCTTAAACATCCTACTAGCAGGAGATTGACAAAATTCCCTAATCTGTGCCCACTGCCTGGTGTGTCATGTGGTAAGATCAAGAATGAGTTGTGAATTGGCAACTGTTCGAAAGCCTCAGTAAACTACTTGTGCAACACTGCTATTCGACTTATCGCGGCTCGATCTAGGTTTTTTCTTGGTCTATGTTCTTTGTTTAAAAATGATCTTCCATTGGAAACTGGTAACATTGTGTGAAATCGCCTTTGCCGGCAAACATTACTTTTCAGATAATATCTCGCGAGACACAGGATCTGTCTGCGGCCATTCAATCGATTAGTCAAGCCAGTGGGAATTCTCACAATGCTGAGATATCCGATCCAGAGTTTGCGAAAACCAGCACCTGCATTCCCGATACCCTTTTCAATAACTCCGTGAAATCCTATCAGCCAGAAGTACGATCCCCAGACGAGTCAGGTGATCGCGTCTCTCTCAGTCCTCAACAGGAACAACAACAACAACAACAACAAGGACAAGAACAACAAGTGAAGCAGAACGCAACAACAGACAATGGTCTAGGCTTGAGTCGATTTGCCTGGTCCGCTTTGTCCAACGATGTGGACGCGTGGATTGGCGAGGTATCGGAGTATCGCGAACAAACGCTGTCAGCGTACGAGTTGACTGAACGTTTAGGGGCTCGAACAACAGTAAGTTTGGCACATTTTGCATGATTTTCACATTCCTAACCCAAAGCTTCATTTGCGGTATCGAAATCGGTGGCATATCAGGATGCAATCATTTTTCGTCTCGGTTTCCGATTTCATATTCTACTCATAACCATCAATAATGATGGTTTGTGTGCAAATGCATATGGCACCTCTCAGTTGTAATCGAAGTATTGTCTGAAGGCTCACAAAAGCCACGGATATCTGTTTCATCCTCGTTGGGATTCGTCAATCGGGCACTCTTGGTTTTCGTGTTGGGATTCGAACCGAGAATTTTCGGTTTGGGACTCTTAATCCCAAATCCTGAGTCGTGCGATGGACGACAAACAACACATGCCTAGTTTCACATGTTTTTTTTGTCAACTTGGTCCTTTTAAGTTTACAGATATGATCCACTACGGTTTCACCGCAATGAATATATGCGGGGCAAGCTGTGAGCATGCACAATATTGACTCACAGTTAATAATGTCATTTGTGCAATAAACTGTCTAACATCTTCCAGGGTTTATGCAATCAAAAGAGCTAAAAGTATTTAACGTGATAAACTCATGAAAAGTGGAATGCATTTCGCAACTGTAAATGACATTATTTGTCTCGACAAGAATGGTCAAATCGAGCTTGGTATCAATGAACTGCGGTCAAACTTGTCATGTTAGTAAGTAGGTTTAAAGAAACCATGATAAGTTAACTATTACAGACCGAGAATGAAAGTTGTGTGGTGTACAATGATGGCTCGGATCGTCCCTCTTCTGGTGGACCTGGAATGCAGAAGTAAAATATAAATTTCGAAGATACCTTCTCTTTAGTGTTCCGCTATCTTTGGTTACGAAGGTCAATTATGTACTGTAGTTAGGAAACAGAATAACAGGAACTGGCTGAAGTGCGTAGTGGAAACACAACCGAATCTTGAGGATGTATGGAGCTGTATCAGTTGTAGACCATGCATACGAAATCAGTGGGGGGGNGGGGGGGGGGGGGGCGGATCAGGGCTCTAATCAGGACATCGTGTGATTGCTTGCTCACCGAATATTACCATTTTCATGAGTATATATATATGTAAAATGAAACCAACGTTTAATGGTTACACAGTAAAAAAATCCACTCCTCCATGTTATTTTCGCTGCGTGTTATTCATATAAAAATATTTACACGGGTGACCAATTATTAGTAAACTGCTTCGGATAATATGCATCTAAAACTGGAAGGTATCACGCTGGAACTAGACAGAAAATAAACGGCCTTTATATCAGTTATTTGCACAAAAAGAAAACAGTGCTGGTCATCGTATTCAGTGACGTTTTCACCTAATTTTCTTTTTAATTACAAGTCGTTCAGCTTAATTTATTTGCGAATATTTTACTCAACAAGCTCACTGGCTAGGATTTCACAGTGGGCATCAAAATGAATGGATTGTTTTTTGTTGGGGAAAGTAATGCTGGACCTAACACACTGATCGAACTGAAAGGGCTTCATCCGACCGTTGTCGGCACCCACAGACTTGTGTTTGATTTCATTCCTTCTACCATTTAGTATCGATTGGAAATGTGCAAAAACGTGTACGGCACGATCGAGAACCCTTGTGTGCGTATGGTGTATTCTTTGTTCGTTCACTCATTCCTCTCTCTCTATATTCTGATCTGGTTTTTAGAACCTTCAAAGTAAGTGAGTTTTCGTCTGACTGTGCGCTTTGATAAGAAACGTGTTTTAAGTTCAACTGAAACTATCCCTCATCCGAAAGGAGAACGGTGATAGCATTGGGTATTCAGTGGAGCTGGCTTTGGTCTGTTCGGCCACGAGACCGGATGAATTGTTTTTCTACGAAGACAACTGTAGAGGCACTCACGGTAGTTTTTCCTCTACTCATGTTCTGATTTGATGGAAGCGTGACGACGACGATGCTGATGATGATAATGAGAAGGATACTTACTGTTCACTTACATATTGAGCTTCCTTCGGATCGTTTCTTATTTGAAGGAACTATAAACAACAGAGAAACATCGCCTTACAACGGTTGGTAAAACGAAGTGTTGAAAAATTCCATTGGTGTCTTTCCGATGAAGGTGCATTTCGATTCTTGATCAAACACACTTAAGATGGCAATGCTTCACAATTTTCCAACGTCCTGTCGTCATGTTCTGTTCTATTTTGATTAATGGAGCTGGGTGATCGCACGGTTTACTGTCCACTGCCGGTGACTTCGGGTGAGATCCTTTGTCTTCCTGGTCTTCAGCTGACACTTCTGCCAACGCTGTGCTGCGCCCACCGCACTTGAGAATCAACGGTATTTTCCCAAAGTTTTACGTATTATCGCATCTTTCTCAGTGAAATGCCAGTTAAGCTTAGACGGCACCTGGCTCTCTTCGTTTCTCCTTTTCATCGAAACAGTGTAGGTAAACAACGCAATATCTTTAGTCCGATCGGTCGCGATGACAGTTGGTAACAGCTCACATGTTGAATAGATGGGTGAATGAATCTAATCAGTTCAAAGGCTTCATCCCTATCAGTATACTATCGGATATTTCAGTGTCCACTTGAAGCAACATAACGCCCCCTCATAACTTTTTGTTTCTTCGGAAGGCGGGATTGGGGTTTTAGTGGAATGAAACCAGTCCGCAGATTGACTATTATCCAACAATTCAGAAAATTATGTAAAAAGCGTATTTCATGATAGCAACTCCTAGGAAAATTTAGCTGTTGACATCACACAAACGTTTTGGCCAGCGTGAGTTCGCCTCCTAAACTAACCGATTTGTGTTAGCATGTGACTACCCATGATTGCAATAGTCCGTACATCTTTCAAAAAAATGTCATATGGAAAAGGAGGTAATTCACTTCGATGAACTAATAGTCAACGCTCAGTAGAATATGCAGACGGATTCTGGGCGAATAAAAGCTGGAGAAGTCCGGAATCATCTTGGTCAAGGTTTTTGATCTCAAACAGGATTTTGGTCATAATTTTGCACGATTAGCCACAAAAATCTGTCATGCATTGTCTTTAGACTTAAATTCTGGGGGTAAGCACCCGTGGTCTCGAAACAACCGGTCAAGACCTTCAGTGTATCACCACTAGGGCACGCTGAATTGTCGCGACCTCCCACCGAGTTCGGGGAGAATGATTAACCAGGTCTCTGTGGCTTGCAAAAATCGTCATTCTTCTTTTTATGGCCAACTAATCACATATCCCATAAGAAAAAGCGATTATTGATGCATTTGAGGGATACCACTAATTTGTTTCCACTAAGGTATATCCAGTTTCACATTCCTTCCCTCATTGCACAGCGCTTGAAATCGTGGATACAGACAACGCAATCCACCCTGGCCGACATTCCGTCTGCGAAGGGTATCGAGGCCGATGAATGCATTGCACTGCTCAGTCAACTCAAGGTAAAACTTAACCTGGGTGCTTTGACTAGAAAAATACAAAATCAGCTGTGTTTATTCCCATTTCTCTTTTGAGTCACATGAAGTTCAGAAGCGGGCAAACAGGTCACACGTACGCATACATCTACGAACCGGCCAACGAAATGCTAAGTGGTTGGTCCTTCCCTATGACGCACCATCAACTATTGGTTGCCCGAGCAATTGTGCCTAAACTGTTTGACTGAAACATGAACAGACCTTCGATTAACTGCTCTTTGGACTGGGATTGCACCAGCTAGGATGCCATCAAAGGTTGACGGCGTGGAAGAAACGTCGAATTGATGGCAGATTGCATTTACATGTGTACGCGTGTTTGTGCTAGTGTAGCGTCATACGATGAATATGACCAATGACCATGGTCATGACTGATAACGGCTACACTGGGATCTGGACCGTCACAGATCACAGCGAATGTCTCGATCGATTTTAGTTAACCTGTGTGATAACAAAAACGATGTAATGACAGGAGTACAACACATTATTTATTCATCCTCTTTAATAGAAATGTAATCACGCGTATCGATGCTAACAAGAAGAATTAACTACGGGATTTCATAATTGCATGAAGTCAGGAAGTTATTAGGCATGAAAAAAAAACTTTCAGTAGGATGGAGCAGCTTCGCACTATCGACGTGATATGAGGTCCCAACTGGATTAAACTCTGTTGAAGAGATGGGAAAGATATATACCTAACACTCATCATCCCACCAAGTAATCGGATTTTCCGGGGTAGAGGCTTCCGTTTTTGGATGCACTCTACAATACATGCCATTCGAATAAGCGGCAGAGCTGGAGGCTGTGGTGGGTTTACCTCCTGGTAAGGGTTCTCCGTACAAAACACCAGTGATATATGTGGACAGCACTGTAACGTGGCGAGTGTGGTCCGCCCGTAAATATGGCCATTGCCCTTATCGAGATCCATTGTGCGACAAGGTTTTCAAGAAGAGGTGAATGAACCGAAAACTGGCCACCAGCTCATCTGGAATATCACTGCTGCCTTGCAATCCGCTCTCGGTTGCGCAAAGACCGGAATATACCTCCGAACAAGGCCTACTCTGAACCGGGCGGCCGAGTAGTACAATAGCCCACAACGCACACTTCTATGAATGTTCTCATCACTGACTAGAAATTAACCATCGAAGGAATATATAGGTGTAAAAGTAGATGTCATATCCGAAAAGCTCATCGGCTTTATTAAAGCTTTGGGCAACCATCGTCAGAGATATCAGTGAAACCGAATCACTTTCAATCAGAAGTTAGTAACAAAAGTAGACGAATAAAAAGTCCCAGTTTTAATGATTAAGAACAAGCCAGACATTCAATCGCTTCCAATGAATAGCTGGATGTAGTTTATTTTGATTTCTCGAATATATCTGTATCTTATGACGGTGCTTTTCGTTGCATGTACCATCGACCAGTTCTGATAAATAATTCTTCTTACAGGCTATTCGACTGGAAATAGCTTCTAAAGTTGAACCCGTCATAAAACTGGTAGACGAGGCTGAAACCTTGCTAGAGACCGTCGAGGATATGGCCAATTCTCTCCCCTCTTCCAAATCAAGCGATGGTGAAGTAACGGGAATGCCCACATTGGGATCCCATTACGAAATTCAACCGCATATGTTTGGCCCACTGTGTGAGGCTCGGTTGATTCGCAAAACACACAGCTATTTGTTGGACGAGGTCACCCGGAAAGCGGTAAGTTCGACCGAAAACTTCCCATGCACCTCAATATTTCTACCCACACTGAGTTAGTTTTATTAGGTTTCTAGAGGCTCACAGAACAATGAGTTGCCCCATCATTCTATGCCTTAAGTCAACCCGAAATTACGTTTTGGTGCCTATCAGGGTATACTGTATTCCGGATCAAGAGTAACCTGGTGCATACAGCGATGGTAATTATGCCCTATGATAGATCTGTTCGACATTGCTTTTCCTAGTTCAGTGGATCGCTGAGATACGTGCGGTTTACTAAAAGAAGTGCTCCGCCAGTCGGTCTGAACAATGAGACTAAATGGACGATGAATCAAGGGGTGAGAGTGGGTGCACATTTTTACTCAACGAAAGGCAGCAGGGCGGATGGGGTGGTCAGACAACAAGATAATTGAACATTAGCTCATGAGTTTAGGGTAAACGTCTAACTTTTGCCTAATGCGTTGCGTTCATCTATAAAAAACCTAATAAAATGGTCTCCATTTCTAGGCTGCCAACAGTAGAGGGGTGCGGGGTGGGAAGCGGGCGATCAGTCTGCAACTAGTGTTGGGTTTTCTTCTCAATCCGGCGTGAATTGTTCTGCTGTGACCGGAAAACAGGTAGACAAAGTGCAACCCAGATCTGAGGAATGTGGTCTAGTAACTGCAGACCAATCGACACGCGCCACGACCCGTGACAATTCTCGTTCTAATATCCTCTGACTGAATGTGGGTCCATTTTATCTTTACAGTTTAGCTTTCATTCAATTGGCCTGATGAAATGAGTTTTTTCTGTCCGCGTCATAGGATAGATTCGGATTATTATGATATTGACTTTGCATTTTGATTGTGCGTACATGTCCTGTAATTTTTTTCCTATAATACACGCCAAATTGTTCCACTGCAAAACATATTTGGTAAAGTAGACTTTTAATGCAAATCAACAAATACCGCTTCATTGTTTTTGTGGCCGGGAATAATCAATGAGCTACGCTAATTTGGGCTGGGATCAGTGCGCTGTTCACTGAATTTTATCCGATTAAGGAACAGCGAATTTTATTACTTCAGGAGAAAGTTGATTTTTCCTGTTCCAAAAAACCTTTTGGTTGGCTGCAGCCATTATTCGCAAGTGGCTGAATGTACTGCTACTATTATTATTACTACTAATGTTATCATTATCACTCCTAAGAACAATGGGTACAGGTGTATTAAACTAGGATAAAAAAAAGTACTGTAGTACTGTTTGTATTTGACTAAAGTGTTTTCGAACATTTATCACTTGAATCTTTGGGACTCTAGCCATCCGGTCTATAGATAGATAGGACATGCGCATGTATTGATCCACAATGCAAATCGCATCGATCGATGGGTCTAAATGATATCAGAATCTGTGAACTTAGCAGATGTGAATAAACAGGATGGTTTTGTTCGTACCGATTCCCTCATGCAGCGATCGTGCCTGATTTTTCAAATGGTTGCCTTTATCCACCATCAGTTAATTGGTGAGCAGATGGAATTCAGATGTTCTATTCATAACTCGATCGATTTCGAGAGAACTGATGCTGATCATATCTAATCGATAGCATTCACTGACGGTTGGGTTCACACCAGCCTGTAAAAAATTGTAGTGCAATGAACGTTAAGCGGACATCAACGGGATGTTGTCGAGTCCCGTCTGTGTCGAAATTTATGATCTGCTAATCAAATCGGACTTGATCCGGTCGAATCATTCCAATAATGCGCAATACTTCAACATGTGCTTGAAATAGTAATATTTTGTCAGTTGGTTTCGCTGGACAGATGAAGTCATCCGTTGCTTATATTTCACGGGATTTGCAGCGGTGCAGTTTTCATGCCATAGCATTGTCCAAGCAATTTGATCCGAGCCGATTTGCGTCGGAAGGGACATTGACCAAAAAGAAAAGTTATCTTTTGCAAACCTTTACCACTTGGAGCAATACTCTGCCCATTTGTCCACAGTTTTATACCTCAGATTCGCTGTCCTGCTATCACGAGGCGAATGTAACACAGAGATGTGAACCAGGTAAATACAGCAAAACATTATCACAAAGTGTGTCAGTTCGCTTTCGTATGATGGTCGTTCACTGGCGATACAATGCTTTATCGCGGCAAACGTGTTCACCTATAGTCTTTTCAGTGTACAGATTAGATGAAAAGATGCTATCATCATTCAGGCAAACGGGCGAGAAATACGGAATGACCAAATGAACAGCCGTTTTGTCATGACATTTGGAAGATTATGCGTCACAATAACTAAAATTGTTTGTTAAACCAGACTGGCGCTAACCTAGTGAACCAAATCTCATTATGACGCTCAGCACTCTCTCTCTCTCTCTATATATATATACATATAATTCGGCCACTAGTATCTACTGAGACAATAATCGTCCTACTCTCCCAACCTAAGTTAGTTTCAGCACGTCAACCCCCCTGGTTGACAATCGAATGTTACACATGAGTTTAGCGATAATGTGAGTTAACTGTAAAATGCATATATTAAAGACAGACACTGGATTCTCTCGAAATGAAATGCACTCATTCTTCTTCCCTCTCATTCATCCTCTCTACTACCTGACCGGGCGTGCCATTTTCACTTCATTGTTCCTTGTTTTGTTTTCATAAAAATATGATTGTACTTTCTTGAACATAATGACAGTTGGATTCACACACAGTGTTCCACGACATACATTTTGAATTAATTTCCCATCCAGCCGACATAAAACGCAAAGGAGACGAAGGGAGTCGAATACGCGTACGGTGAATAACAATTACAAAATGGTGCATTATACCATAGAATTATTTTGTTTCGTTTTCCATCGATGTTCGTTATATCATAAACGTTGTTGCCACCTCACTTATTTCATGCTTTTGATTATACCAATATATATCTGACTTATTTATCGTCCTGTGCTACTATCATCATCTTTCATGACCACTCTCACTCACAGATGGGTCTCTACTCAGAGCTTATCCGAACCGGTCATCTGGCTTGGGTGACTAATGATTGCCAAAAATCCATTGAAGATCACAATTGCGAGGCCCTGTTTAGTGAGGATAGTTTGGCTCAGAATTCTTCACCGGACGAGGAAGACAACGGTGTGTCTCATTACGTGGCCACCAAACCGGTTTCACAAGCGATTCGGGTTCGACAGCTCGAGGTAGGCTTGATGACTCTGGTCAAACACGTCTCGTATCCGAATGTTTTTCAGTGTCTCTTTTACCTATCGTCCTACTTTCCTGGTTTGACTTCACGTACTCTTGGTTTTCCAGATTCAACGACTTGAACTGGACGCAATGGGTCCCGTTCTGGGAGCAGTTGCGCAACGGGTACAAGTCGATGATCAGTCGGATAAGGACGATGTTGAAAAGTTATTGAAAAGCCTACATGAAACACAGTCGCTTCAACAGAACCTTATTCACACCACTCGAGCCAGATGTCTTCGAGAGCAAGAGAAGTTGGATCAGGTAAATTTTGCATATCACTGCTGTATGACTTCATTAAAGTGTCTGACGGACTAATTTTCCCTCTGTCACTTTCCAGACTGAACAGGTAAAATCACGAGGCCTTATTCAACAGCCAATTCTGAAAGCTGATGATGCGATCGTCAAACAATTGATTTCATTCTTCGCCTATTGACTGCCATTTTTGATAAGCATCAGTGTGGGATCAACAGTATAAGGAGTTGGCTCTATTGTCATGAGGACTGACTCAGTTATGAAAGTTTTAACCCAAGCTTTGAAAATGCGAGTAGTGAACCAAATCAATTCCTGATAAACTGAGCATCGTATTGAGTTGGGCGACAGCGAGACTGCTTACGACAAGTTGAGTGGTGATGTCAGGGCTTCAGGGTCCGGTGTACTCCAGTGACAATAACATTCATCGTTAAAACATCATCCCCTGCCTGTTCGAAAAAAGTCAGATCATATTGTATGTGAATCCGTGAGTACAATTGTCCCATTGATCAGTACGGAAAAAAGCCGAATATGAACATGACATGACCAAAAGCCATTCGAAATCTTCACAACCCTGCGTGAATAAGTGTGATGAACTAGCGTCATTGAGGAGGGAATAATGTAAAAAGCTGAACTGAGAACATATGTAAAGCTTTTAGGTACACACAACTGAGTTATATAATCGGATTTGTGCTGTTTCAATCAAGCCAATATCTCCTGATTACCTTTACNAGGCAAATCTGCTCAATCCTGTGCCGCGTTATGGCCAGATGTTTCACATTCGATGACGAAGAACATATTCTCACCACATCACTGACACTATATCCAAGCAAGGATTTGTGGTCGAATCACACCATCACCGCCTGACTTTCCTCATTGTGTTGTATGTCAGTCCCTTGTATGGCGGCTTATCCCTTCCTGTTTTTATGTGATCATGCACTGCACGTGACATTTTGTTTCACAACACGTGGATTATGTTCTTGTATCTAAACTGATTAAAATTTCTTTGGAATATATTAGCCACAAATGTTTTCAACAAGATCGATGTCGAATAGATCGTGGGTGTGGTGGTGACGACCATTTTGCGTTGGTTGTATGCGTCGGTCTTTCCCTAAAGATTTCTCTCAGAATCTGAGCCGTCGGCACTGTATCCTGCTCTTAAGCCTCCGGTCGTCCTTGAAAGCATCGCACGTGAACTTTCTAATAGTCAGAAGAAATTAGGGAAGATGGGTGGTTATTCACAAAATTATAGGGATTCGTGGTCAATCTTATCTATTTAAATTGTGGTTGTGCATTCGAAATGGTTACTTGTATCATCGATCGGTACACATTTACGTACGAGCCGAAAACCATCGATAACATCCGTAGGAAACATACCATCCAACCTGTTTTGCTCCCTTTGTACCTGATATTTCGCTGATCGATTATCCGAAACATTGCTTACATCCTTCAGATATTTGAAAAACGAATCCAGTTACGACATCAGGTATAAAGGATATGTAGCTAATACCAAAGCACATAACATCGTAAACACAGAGTTTGTTAGCTTTTTTTGTTGTCCAAACACGCAAGCATCCCAATCTGTAGTTGTACGAGTCTTCACATTCATCGTTGACTCTGTGTATGTGTTGTACTGTCTGTTTTTCACTTGCTGTCGTATGAATGTTGTCTTTATTACCCCCTTCTCAGTCATGATTATTGTCTTTTTCCAGTTACATCGACTTGATGGGGCTTTGCGTAATCAGGCTTCGTGGCTTTCGCTTCAAGCCAAACAAATGGATCGACTGGCTGATCCTAGAGGAATCACTGTTAAATCCGTGCAAGCCGGTCTTGCCCGATTTGAGGTATGTTTCGGTAGCACTATAAGAACTTGGTGAAATTTATTAAGACATGGTGACGGAACGAGACAGTTACTTTCTGCCACAGTACGTTTGTGACATTCGATTTGTGCGTGTATGATAGTAAATGTATTCAAATGATCTAATAACATTTCGCTATCAAATGCAGCTCCTTTTCGCTCCCAAGGGTAACATAAATGGAGTTATTCTGTACTGAAATCATCTGTTAACTTTACTTTTTTTGGTTTTATAGTAAGACAGTAATTGCAGTGGAAAGGATGAATACAGTAAGCTAAAAAATGGAGTGATGTGAAGCAAGCATTTCAAAACACGGATATTGATTCTCTTTGAATGTAAGACGGGGAAAGGAAGAGAAGATGAGGGTATTTCGCAGCTTAGCGGTTCGGAGGAAAAAAATAAGCTAGAGCCGGAATTGTGATAAGCTGGGATGATCACGTGGTAGGTGGGTGAACAAAATGGAGGTCGGGACTGCACACCCAAATTTCTGAAAACCGAAATTATTATGGATAGGAATAGATTTATAAGGACCACCATCAGGAAAAGAAGGGCTAGTGGTTGAGGCTCCACTTAAACGTGACTGTACTATTCAAGGGAGAGGCAGAAGAACGAATCGAGAAGTTATGAAGAAGCACCAAGCATGACTAAGAAAACCGATCGTTCCGGATACATTCAAATCAAAGGTGGTTACATTTGTAGCCAAACGAAGAGACGAGGGACCCCAGAAAAAAATACTGGAAGTTGTGAAACTGAACGAGTAGCGTGTAAGAGAAACAGACGGACAAGCTGTCCTGTAGGTTTTGAATGATATACAAATGGGTCAGAACCAGGCTATTTACTATTCGACCAAACCCGGAGTTCATTGAGGTGTACGTGCCTGATCGAACACCGGAGATGTGTTTTGATTAAGTGCAAAATCTGGGTTGGATGAGGAGGAATAATGTGTGTGGGTGTCCGGGGGAGGGGATGGCTGAACCTTACGCTGGAGCGGTAGATAAGGCAACCATAAGTCCACTGTTGTGAGTTCGGGAGAGAGAAAAAACTTAGGTCATTTAGCCGGAAACTTTCATGTCTTACTCCGTTAAATGGCTCTGAGATATCTAGGAACACCAAATTCGATTCACTATGATTCTTCACCTCAGAAGACCAGCTATGAGCACCGAATATCGGGAGATCTTCACTGGATCTGTGAAGGCCATACCTTTTCCGCAGGCCACTCAATAATGTGTGATTTTCCAGACCTGGTTGCAGTAGTTTCGCAATACTGACTTTAGGTAGGATCAGGGTTAGATGCATGAGATGATAGGTGTTTGGTTGGAAGGCGTCGCCATGCTTGCATAACGAGCAAACGTGTGATTTTCCGACTCGACTCGTAAGCACTATAACGGAGACGGGGTGAATAGAAATCAATTAACTGGAGCAAGTCTGTCGCACAGCTCTTTTGCGGAATGGCTGGAATGCTGTCTGGATCAGGAGACTTTTATGTGAAGACCTTGGGGGACGTTTCTAGATATTCCTTGGAGAATGAAAAGATAGTTGGAAAAAACAGTTCAACAGGAAGGTACTGCAACGTCAAAAAAAGCAGAACGAGAGGCAAAAACGGAAACCAACACCTGAGCTTTCTCCAGTTGACTGGAAACGAAACTGTTCGTTTAGAGGCCAAAAGTTAACATAGTGGCCTGGATGAGAGTGGTTACACTTACAGCAACTAGAAACTCCATAGAAGAAAATCGAATCGAGATTTTATATAAAATAATCGTATTTTTAATGAGTGAATTTGAACTTGACGTGTACTGGATCTAATTTACTTCACTTGTGTCTCCTTTTTATCACTATTATTCGTTTTACCATTCCAGGAGACATGTAGTCAGCTCACAAACAACTGCTTGGATCGGTTGGTTCAACTGGTGCAATTGGCTTACGGTCCCATTACACCCACCATGACCAGTCATGAAGATGTGATACGTGTGGTCACTTCGTTGCTTTCCGCGGCAGTCTCGGTCCCGTTGAGCGGCTCTGTGCGACCGTCATCATCATCAGGTGTTGTCCACTATCATCCAGGTGGCTTACGAAAACTTATCCGTGAACAAGTCTCGATTTATCGCCGTACATTAGAAGCCAGAAATCGATGGAGTCGGCATCTGAGAAACATCGCTAATTATGAATCCCAGATGAACCGATTCCATTTGTTACTTGAAGAAATTTCTGCGTCGTTAGTCCGGATTTATCGTCCTTCAAAACTGGTCCCTCGATGCACCGAACAGCTCAAAGAAGTTCAGGTACATTGTGTATCAACACGGGGTGTTTTACGTCATGTATTGAATAACGTTCTGTTGATGGGAGGGAAATGGGACACATCAAAAACCGAAATTAGGTACTTTAGCTCACCAAATAATTGGTCAGACGATGAACAAACTGAAGGCATTCGATCGTAATATGGTAAATGTTTCAACTGAGCATGAACTAGGCAGCCTATTGACACTCGCTCTGGAGAAGATTGAAGGTGAACGTCTGTTGCGAGAAGACTGTAATATTTGGATTTTAAGGCCGGGGAACAGTGACCTCATCCATTTGATTGGGTGGGATTATGGCTAGTTAGTACCATCTTGTGATTTGTTGTGTCTCTAATGGAACAAATGTGCAACCAATGTATACGTCGATAGCTATGTTATGTTCTGTTTCGTTCACTGCACAGGTGGTTCCAGATGTACTATTCGCATATTTGATCGCATTTTCTATCATACAATATCGTGCTATGGATATAATCATCCTCACCTTCATCGTACAGTGAAGCGAACTTCGTTGCCAAGCTCACAATGTACACAACTGAGGAAGTACAAGTTGGATGTATTTTGAGCCTAAGTAGGGGGTGGAAGAGAAAGTGAACCTCTATGGTCAACACAGAGTGCACAATCTAACTGTGCATGCATACCTTTTCAAACACTCTGATTTGATGAGAAATGACAAAAAGAACGCCACTACTGTCGGTTAGCTGCCATATCCTTGACGGTCTCCAACCAGTTACATAGTCTTTCGGACCCCGAGGAGGAAGGCCGGAGACGCCCACTCTATCTAATAGCTCGGTGTATTTCTTCAGGCCTCGTTTTCACGTCATCTGTTGAGCTGCACATGCTTTCCTCGAACCTGAAACCGAAATGCAAATTGGGCGCAGTGCGGTAGACGATAGCTAGGCATACGCAATACGCATCCTGACCAGCGAAACCTACTGATCTGAATTCTATATGATAACACATTTTCCACCAAATCATTACCTAATAGGCAACAGTTGATCTCAGAATTGCGTACACGCACACCATCTAACCCGCGCCAAACTACGATAACCATTGACACTTGAAGACCTCTGGGCGATGAATATATCCCAAGTGCAAATTTAAGGTCTCGTAACTGTAAAGGGAAGCTGATGGCACACTAGCGCAGTATACGTCACCTTTCAGTTTCAAAGAAACCTCATCTCAGCACCAATGATGTTTCAATCTTTCGTGCGCTGCGGATAATCGCTATCTTGACTACACTACTGTCATTTTTTGTGCAACTGCCTAAGTGGGAGAAACAATCCACAACAACTAATTCCTGACAATCAAGCATCAGAACAGGCATAGACGACACTCAATCTTGTAGCACCACTTTGCGCTTTGAAGGTGCAAAGCGCATACCAAATGGAGTTACAGAATTTGAGAGTTTATCAAGGGTTCTTTACGCATCCTAACAGGCAACCGATGTCGTCAGCGTACTCTAAATTGCACAGTTTTTCTCTCGTCGCCCATTTAATATCAACATTTTGGAGACCATTTAATGCGCTTTCCGCTATTTCGTCTACGACGGAATTGAATTACAATGGCGAAGTTGTTATGTTCCGACTAGACTTACGATCGATACGAGCGCCTCTTGCCTAGGCCCAACAACTATACGGGAGAGAGAACAAGACTGGAGAACAATAGTCAGTGTATTCTTTGATAATGACGAGGTGCTAATGTGCGTGGGTAGATTGGGCGTACGAGAATAGCGTGACGATGCACTAATCAGCTGTCGTCCTTGACTCTCCAATTGGTCGATCGGACGACAGCTGTCTGAATCGTCTTAGTAGCCAATCCGGAATCGATTCGCTTTGGGCGTCGCGAGCGCGCTTGTGATGTGACGCGGTTCCGTGCACGGCTTGACGGGTTCTGTGAACTCCGTCCTAACGGAAGTAGAGCACCCCCAACGAAAACTACCCTTGGTTTCGAATTATTTGCTTAGCCTATCCTAGACACTTACACCACCCGAAGTATGCAAATCAAGTGACCTCACTGTGTTTACATAATTCTACGTCCTTCCTTTACAAAGTAGCGAATCCATTGGTGATTCACGATTAGCTGAATCGAAGGCTCCTTTTAGGTCAAAGTAAACGACGACCGTGGGTCGACTGCATGTGGCGTAATCCAAGGACTTAACGCAGAATGAAGATTTGATCGATGCAACCACGATCTGGTTGGAATCCTGTTTGCTCTTCACGAATGTTTATCTCCTTTAAAGGCGTCAGGCCGCGTAGTTTCACAGAAGTTAGCCCTTGCGATGATTGTAACCAAACTTATCTCACGGTGATTTCCGAAGTCATCAAAGATAGGATCGATCAGAGATTCAATCCAGGATAAACTGCTCTCTTCCCCTTCTGTAGCGTTTCAATAAAGCTTCCTATTTCTAATTCTTTTGGAAGCTCATATTACCTCTCATGGATTTATCACTTCGATCGTCATAATAACCTCATTAGCATCAGGTCATAGAACTGTTCACTAAAATGCTCTGCCCTGCAACCAAGTCCGTCTTTATCGTGGATACCCTGTCCACTTTTATCGCGTATGGTTTCACGACTCACCGGTAGGCGACGACCTCCGGTGCTGCGTATTAAGGGAAACAGTCTTTGACTATCCCTTGACGCAGAAACTACTTCCATTTCACTAGCTGTTTTCTCTCATCAGTTTTTGCAGTCTTTCTTATGACTTTTCCTGAGTTGTCGTTGTAGACACTGCCGGTTCCTATGTTGATCCTGGAAGATTTGGGTTTTTCTCGTTTGTTCCATCAGAAATACTGATTCTAGAGAGAACTCGACGAACTTCCGACTCTGTCACAGAAGCAACGCTTGCTGCTCAATGCTTCGCACATCTAATTTGATGACACTTGATGTACTTCATCACCTCGCGGTTCTCCAAGCTCCCGACCAAGCTTCTCCCATAACGTGAGCAAACAGATAGATCGCGCAGATGATGATGAGCTAACTGAGGAGGCGATTTTCACCATTGACCGATGAGTCGAAGAATGATACATTGCTAAAGAGGAAAACCTCATAGTCATAAGAAGCTTTTGTTCACTTACGAGAAACGACAATTTAAGCTCCCGGGACATTGAATGACGAATCGCTTAAGGTTTCCTTAGTCTACGCGTAATCTTGACCCTGGGGGACGGCGAAGCTGACCAGCATGTTATTTATTGCTTCAGGGTTTAATATTGTGTTTCTGGGATAGAACAGAATAATCGAATTATCCGCCACTGTCCACAACTGAGCATACCTCCGGATTTCCATTGATCCATGCCGCATTGTGAAACATTCTTCGAACATGCACGGAATGTCATCATTGCGTTATCATAGACAGCGTACGTGTGGGGACACAAGAACTTTACGGTTTTTCCCACTAATCTCATCGTCTCGTATAGCGTCGAAATCCTCATTTAGGTTGAGTATGTCCTATGGTTTTTGCATCTCATTCCACGTAGCTAATTTAACATTCAAAGATGAGCACCTGCCCAGGGTGAATTCCATGAAATGTCTATAGCAAACAATATTCTATCCATTCATCCATCCATCCATCCATCCATCCATCCATCCATCCATCCAACCAACCAACCAACCAACCAACCATCCTTCCATCCATCATCCATCCATCCATCCATCCATCTATCCATCCCGTCTCTTTGACGCCACTTGCACGACAATATCTAGAACCCCAATTGTTCATCTGACCTGCAGCTTGCAATCCTGTCTGTCTTCGTTGACTCACTTTTTCTCAATCTTTCTCTCTCTGAATTCTCATCCCACTCCGGTCAGAATGTCCTGGTCCGATTGCGTGAATACGAGTCAAGCGTGACCGAGATGATCGAATACCTGCCGCATCTGAAGCCGCTCTGTCAGAGCAATGAATGGAGTCGTGTTGTAGCCACAGGGCGATCAATGAAGCACCGGTTTGACTGTTTGATTCGACGAGCCACTGAACGCAAGAGAATGCTGAAACAAGCTTATAAGGAAGACCTTCAGGTACGACAAGAGTAGTAATATGCAGATCAAATTGTGCTTTTTCCCCTATAGCCCATCAAGGCTCTTTTTATTGCCTTCGATCAAGGTACCTACAATGAAGGTTTCACATTCTTTCAGGCTATCAAACTATCACAGTGCGTAGATGAACTTGTAAAACTTACATTCCACTTGTGATATCTCTTTTCAGTTTGACACCGCTTACAATCGGTTAGTTCGACTTTTCGAGACAGAACTGTTGGGTCCTTGCGTTTCCGACGGCAATCTGGAGAACGAAGCCAATTCGACCGCCTCTCGTCCCGCAGTGAGTTCTGTCAGGTTTTTCATCGAATGGTTCACTTCCGTTTTACGTCACAACCAGGGCGGTGTCACAAATGGTCGCCCTCATCACTGCATCATCGATGCATTTATGGCATTGCGTAGTGACTACTTACGAGTAGGCTAACCATCCAATAATGAACAGTAAATTGCGTGAGGCAGTAATCACATTCCAAAGCTTTTCCCCATTGAAATCAAAAGAAACTGGGAGTAGCGAGGTGAAACAAGCTATACTGATTTTGAAAGATTATCCTTCAGATTTCATCTTTATCCTCGATCCGCAGTTCAACCAATCAACTATAAAATTGGAAAAAGTAGGCGCGAGTTTCAATTCCGTCAGAGTTCATTCTCAGTTGCTGTTTCACATCACCACCATATATATTTTTTCACAATTCACAAAATCGTTTACCGCCATTTTTTATCGATTTCTTCCAAAACCCAGTTGCACTTTACTCGTGCACCACGTAGCTAATTCCAAATTCGTATATTAGCCATAAGCGGAATCATATTGCTGATATTTTTGGTGTATCGTAGTATCTACCGATTTCCGGATTATTCACACTTTTGGTAATCGCTTGGTGGATATCCGACGAATAAGAACTGAAAAGGTCGGTAAACGTCGGAAAAAGATATTCCACAATTAGAATAAATTGTAAATGAATGCGGTTGACATTTGCGGCAAATTCGCTCCTCCATTATTCAATCACCGATCATGTTGCCCATCGGTTCGTCCAGAAACAACCGGCTAACTGAAAACTGGACCAGCAAACGCTGATTAGAATCAGAAGTATATCCCATTTTAACTTATGCCAGAACACCCACACGAACAGTATCATTGTCATAATTCTGCATTAAACGTTCCTGAATAACCCCGATCTTTTGATTGCTTCTGATCAGTATGTCTCAGTTACGGACAGCGAACGTTCGCAGTTCTGGTCTACATTGCGCTGGGGTACAAATTTGCGCGAACGTTGTACGCTTGCTGATCCGGAAAGAGCCGTATTGGAGGAAATGCTCGATCGCTTACGGGAATTGTGGAATCGTTGTGTTCATCTCAAATCGGAACGGTAAGTGTCTTATGGGATGCTACAGCGTAATTTGTATCGATTCCACAATTATAAAATCCTTTCACCTTTCACATAAACGCCGCTATTGATATTATTGCTCCTACTCCCTTTTTATTCACACGCTTATATAACAGCCGCAAATCTGCTTTGTCAAGTTGGATCTACCGAATTTTAAGGGTTGTTTCATTTCCTCAGTGAGGACCAGCAGACCACAGTTTCACCTTCTAGAGCTAACAGTTGTGTTCAGTTAAACGGAAGCAAATCAAACGCAAAATGCGTCACAACACGTCTCCTAGATGGCCGATCTCAGGGGCATGCTTGAAGAGTGGTTTGGTTGATGCTCAGGAAAAGCGAGTAACGATCCCACATCCCTAAACGATGTAAGTGTTAGCACAAAAGCATCAGTTCCCGTCCCCTTTCCCCCCCCCATCGTGCATTCAGATGCAATTGTTTGCAGAGGGGTGGAGGTCGACAGACGTATTTAATTTTCTCTTTATTTGGTTTTTGTCTGCACAATAAAGTACTTCACACCGTCACTTTAATATTTGATCCGGAACCGGAAACCAGTGCCTCTGGAGTTGAGCATTGATCCGTCTAATGCCAGACTCCCGGGTTTTTCTTCTCGAGATCAAATCATTCAAACAGTCCCATAAACCGACATAGTCACACTGTTCTGTCCACACACCTTCTTTCTGTTGCAAAAGCTTTGTCTGGTTTGGTAAATAAAGTTCAAATCACGTGGAATTTCCCAATGAGTGGTATCGAAACCACTGGATAAAATGCACCTATCAATATCGGACACCTACCAGCCTTGGTGATAAGGGTCGTGAAATTTATCTTCTCTTCCCGAACAACTGATATGGCGTTTTTCGCTTGAACTGTTCTTTCCTCTATTTTACATAACTGATCGAATTAGCACCAGGTGAGTGTATCACTGTGATTTTCCCTTTGTGAGTCCTGAGGATGTCCGGTTCAGTTATCAGCTTCTCCTCCAGCCAACCCCAGTTTCATTTGCTAGCGCAGTTTCGCTTATGTTCTGATGTGTTAGATTTCCCCATATCTCTTTCTCTCTTCATGCCTCACGGATTTTCTCGTATTTCCTTCTGCTTTGATTGTATTTTTTCTCCCGTTGTTGCATGCTTCCGTATTGGTCTGTTTGTGAATAGGATGTGGACAGAATTGATGTCTAATCAACCATACAAGTTCCTGTGGCTAGTGAAACTATCATAAATTGATCTGAGATGAAGTTGCTCTCTGAGTTCCACTGAAAGCAAAACAAAGCGAAATAAACTTTCTTTCACGATATCGCATGCAGTGCATGTATTCATCTGTCAATCTTGATCTACTCACCGTGTTAAGTTATCTGTCAAAAACGGGGTATTGATGATAGACCTCTACTTCTCTACAATCAGCTCAACCTATATATCTGTTTGAAGAACATGCCAAATCTCATCCGTAGGATAATCTTTTAGCATAAGCCCTGCCCAGAAAATAAGGTCCTGTGAAGAGCCTTAGATACTCCTTTATTCGATAAAGTAGAAGCTAACTGACAAGTTTTTATATTAAAGTCATAAAGATTACATCAATTTGATTGTGGGGTATTTACAGCCCGATTAACCAAAACGAGATCAGACGGCGAGGCTTAGTAACCAAGCCCTCATCTTTTTTAGCTATTTAATCTCTGAGGCAAATCTAGTAAAACAGCTGGCTGCTTTGTACCGTTGTTGGCCAAGGCCATCCGGCCTGACTGTTCGAGTGGAATAAACAAGTTACAGGTCACAGTAGCTGTAAAATTTACTTAAAACAGAAGGTAATCTGAAGCGTTCAACCAAACCGAATATCCCCTGATTCTTGGTCGAAAACCGGTCAAAGGAAGTCAGTCGGGCTCTGATGTCTATCCTGCGAGGACGAATCTGTCGTTTGGCTGATGGGAGTACTGACGTCACTAGCGCCCGCTTGATGATGAACGGATTTGAATCAGAATTAAATGCATCACCCGCGTAGACCTATGCCTCTAACAGTTCTTCTTCGCTTTTTGAATGGCCATCCTGAGTAATAATCATGTTTTTTGCTTTATCTGTCCCGAGTTCTTTAATAAATATTTGATTCAATAGTAGACTTGGTGCACTAACCTGACGTTTCAACAAGATGAAAGCCAAAAGAAGGAACTATGACGGCAATCACAGGAAAAGAGTTATTGCAGATTCACTAAGGAAAGTCATGGCTTTCTGAGTAGAAAAAATGAATGATTTTCGAGTTGTCCGAAAATGGAGAGCGGCGAACAATAACTTTAATCCACATGCGGAATGGGGAAATTCTAAGAGGTACAAGGGAGTCTGAGTATCACAAACAGTGGCGCTTGTGTATCTACTCAATGTCTTTGCAACTTTAATCTTTATCAATTCTCCGTTTTCACTCTGCCAGTGATTTGAACATTCCAATGTTCCCTACTTCATCCAAACGAGTAGCCATGAGATGGCATCGAAAACCGGCGCACGAAAGTGCATAGTGGGTGTTTGTGAAAACTGAACTGTACTGAACAGGAGTGGACGTGGTCGGTAACTAGTAGTTCCTGAGTCAAAAGACATCAACTGTGAGTGCATTGCTAACAACGAAATGAAGACTTTGGTTATATACAAAGCAAACGTTTGCTCTTACAATAGTACCACAGAACACTGCAACCCTGGTTGAATACATTCTTTTAGCGATATAATCTTTCTCTAAACTCTGGCGCTGCCTCACTCTGAAGGGTATGCCCGTGAAATTTATTTCAATATTAAAATTGCAATATTACAATCCCTTTGTTCTAATAGCTGGAGCCGAGTTCGAGTTCACTACAGAAAGTGGTGTTCGACAGAGTAGCCCTCTCTCTACTTTTCTATTTAACTTTGCCATAGATTTAATTCTTCAAAACAGCCCTATTCTCGTGCGACGATTGCGGTATCGACTTACTTCCAGATGGCAGACTGTCTTATCTAGATCATGCAGACGACATTGTGCTACTAAGTGAAGACCCAGGTAAGTTGCGAGCTTTTCTGGATGGTTTGAGTGCTGGTGTAGCCGTATTCGGTATGCGCTTTGCACCTTCAAAGTCTAAAATGTTGAAACAAGCTTGGGTTGGTCCAGCCCCAACCTCACGCTGACTGGGGAAGTAGTAGAGGAAGTAGATAAATTTTGCTATCTGGGCAGCTATATCTCACCTGGTGGGCACGTCACATATGAAGTATTGGCGCGCATACAAAAGGCTTGGTTGGCATTGGCCGGCATGAGACATCTATGGCCAGTCCTGCTCTACGGTGCAGAGACTTGGCCACTACGGGAACAGGATCAAAATGGATTTTCTGTGTTCGAGCACCGCTGCCTACGATGCATTGCACGAGTCTGGTGGGGTAGCCGGACTAGCAATCCTGAGGTCAGGCGTAGAGTTTTAGGCAGTCACAGTCGTTCACTGGAGCAAGTAGTCGACCTCCATATATTAAGTTGGTTGGGTCATGTGTTACGCGTGCCACCAGATAGGTTGCCATGGAGAGCGACGTTTGCCGAGGCATGTAGCGGTTGGAAAAAGGTCAAGGGCGGGGAAACGAAGACCTGGCATGAGGGTATGAAAACTCTAACTAGGAGACTGGATAACACTGGTTCGGTTAGGCTCCGGAAACTTCGAGATCATGGTCCCTAATGGCTAGAGACACTGAGAGATATGGCTGGGTGTCACAAATATTGGTGCTCATGCATCTACTCATTATTCTTGCAACCTAGGTCTATATGAATTCTCAATCTTGATTGATTGAATTTACTCTCAACATTCCAATCTTCACTCTGCTCTTTTATCCGAATGCGCGGCCAAAAGATAGCAACCGAAACCGGCGCACGAAAGTGCGTGATTAATGGTTTAAAAAACTGAAACTGGAATGATTGATAATATTGTTTAAAATGGAACAGACTGAAGTTAATAAACGTGCACACGCGGATCCGGTTGTTTTATAGATGGCGTAGACGCTTCTTGTTACCCATCTCCCACAAGATTGCAATGGATAAAGCTGTGGTGTTTGTGGGTGTAGGATCTCAAATAACTGTTGGACGGATGGGTCATTCGTCACTCGTCCATTGCTTACAAAAATGCATGTGTTCGCTGCATTTCGCCAATCTATCTTGATGACAAGAAGCCTCATCTCCATTAATTAGTAAATGCACTAGAGATAAAGTCCAACACGTTTCAGGTATTTACGTAACTCACACGGAAAAGTTTGGTGCAGAGAAGTAATTATAAGGAAGTGGATCAATTCCATGTTGCCTCCTGTCTGGCCAAGTGATCAACGAAGATCGCTAGTCTGGGATTTAGGCACTATCCACCGCTCCAAGAGCATGATGTACTACCACATACAGAGTTGAGCATAGACAAGATAGTAATTTCCTGCAAGAATCCCTCGATCTGTTCAAACTTTTGATATCGCAATAAACAAGCCATTTGCACACAAATCAACTGCCAAAATAAAAATATAGAATGGTGATAAAATAATTTTCAAACTTTCTGAAGCCTAGTTTGTGGAGGTCGTGACTTGGGTGTACAACTCGTGAACAGTTTTTATATATACACTACTGAAACTGAAAAACTGAAATTTTATTGATTTTTGCCCAACAGTTATCAAAATCAGGTCATTCACTACTTTCCGGTTTCCTGCGAAAGGGTAATAAGACCAAAGAGCGTCCAAGCGATTGTCTAAAAACCATGAACAATAAACATGTGGAATAATCTGTTAGACTTTTTCAAACCTTCATTACTTCTCATCATTAACACTGTATGTGACGAAATTCCTTGTGATCAAACCAAAGCCTGCGTCACCTCCTTGTAACATGTATTGTATTCTATTGTGTATAACTTTTGCAAGCACTGGAGCTCACATTTCAGTTAAAAAGCATACACGCT